TTGGGCCGCGGAGGCCGACCCGCCGGCCAGTGCTTCCACCGCTCCCGAACCTGTGCCAGCGTTTGAGCTTCGGCAACTTCGACTTCAAACCTCGATATAGGCACTTTAAATCACGACTAGTGCAGACTTCTTTAATATAGGCTCTGTTTCTCGGCGAAACATGTGCAGATTGTATTCAAACAATAAAGCACAGCAACTACACTAGTCAGGCGCATATCACCACGCTTCCAGCTTGCGAGTAGCGGCTAGAGCAGGTGATCTGACCACTTTCCGTCCAGGTCGGTTAGGAATTCTGACTGATTCCTAACCGGTGGTTTTCGCTGAACTCTGGTTATGGTCCTCTGGTCTGATACCTTATCATATCACTGTTTGCAACACTGCACATGTTGCAAGAGTTAAACCAACTAATCAGACGTCCAATCAATGGCATTCGAATTAGACTCTGTTTCTGGTGCGAATCAGCATTGAAGAAACGAGCTGAGTGCATTTCCGAGAAATGCGTCCTATTTTGTTTCGTTTCATTTCCGCCGGCCGCTGTTTGCGCACGGTGAGAGCGACCGAGCGTGGTTAGTTCTTGGCGGAGTTCAGTTTTTGTCCGTGTCAAGTACTACACACCTCGAAGACGATGGCAAATGAGACGGTGACGCGACGTTGACGACTTACACCGGTCCGTCGATGCTCATTCGCTCCGCCAGTGAGTTGCGCCTGTCTCAGGTCGAGCGCAACGGCGGCATGGAGTCAGTAAGTCGGGAGAGTATTTACAACGGGTCGGTAAACAACGCCTTTGCCGGTAAACAACTTGTTTACTTTCTTCTAATGTTTTGTCAATGATTGGTCGTGTGTCGAACGACGTCCAATGATGATGTTGGTGTTTAGTATCGGACATCAGCCACACCGAGTCGGAAGAGGAAGCGTCGCCGAAGGACAAAGTCCAGGTATGCAGATGATGCCTCCTCAAACAACGGTTGACGCTGTGACCACCAACATCATAACGTCATTTGCATATGTTTAGAGACTTCCCAATGGCTTCGAGGACTTCTGTGTCAGAGATACCATGCTGGCGGAGTACGGCCATCGAGAGATCGAGATCGCCAGAGAAGGTACGCTCGCCAGTCCTCATTAATTTGCCACTGATAAGAAAATGAACTGGCGAGTTTTACACTATTAAGCGCATGTTGTGATGATACGCAGCAGATTAACCACTTTAAGACCATATGAGGCAAGTCATACTGTGCATAAAATAAACGCAAAAGAAATTATTTCGATAGACGGGTGTTTTAAATTGATGCTTTAGACTTTACTCCTATAAATAAAACAGGAAGGAACCGTCCAACAGTTGTATATCTGTAAGTTATCCTCCATTTCCTCAGAATTTTTTCTATATTAGACTCACTTAATTAGTTTATGACTTAGGAATTACTGACAAATCGTTGTTGTATAATAGCAGAATAGCTTTAAAGATCAATTGTCGAAATTAGACGGAAGAATTCGTAGCACAAGAGCGCCAGTTTACTTGATAGTGATGGCGAATCATAGTCAAAGTCATAATTGCAATCATTGTAATGATCCAGATCAGATTATGATTGCAGTCTTTGCCCTCCTCATTCAACATTCCCTCTTCATCTTCATAACTATGAATTTTCCTGAGTACAGTTTCGAATGAAGAATTTTGAAACTTCGCTCAAAACTTATTTCCTACATCATTCGATCACTTGGCTCTGACATAATTCGTCGGAAATGTCGCAGTCGATCTGAGCGTTCTGGTAGCCATCCGGTTCCTTATTATAACCCAATTCAATATATGCCTGCGATAGAGCGATGACCTGTTGCCCTTTGATTTGTTTCATTTGCATTATGTTCAGCCAGTTGCTCGTAAACTTATTCGCTCTTTTAATGAAATACCGGATCCGTGGTTGCGCCAGCATTTGTTTTTGATATTCCGAATACATGCCTTTCCATTGTTTTGCTGTTTTGCAGTTTGTGTGAACAGCATTCACCCTTATGGTATATTTTTTGCATCTAGAAAACGACCTGCAGCTTGAGGCGTACTGGAAATTCCCGCTAAAGGATCATTTTCAACCTTCCAAATTTTCTCTATGCCAGTTTACTGTTATCTTGACCATGCGGACTGGTTCTTTGTTGCAGAAATCAGTTGTTCAAATCATCAGTTAAAATCCGCTGATAATATATAACTCAGATTTCTGAGGTAGCCACAACGCAACAGCTTTCCAATTCGGCCGGCAAGCATAAGATTCAAGTTTCTATTTCCATACTACAACGATGAAGTTCTGAGTTACTATTGCATCGTTCCATTAGCTTCAACAGACTGAGGGTAAAGAATTGCTTGACAATGAGCCAGCCAGTTCTCTTCTAGACCTCTTTTTTCCAATTTTCAACCCCTCATTGAGGTTGACGTCGTTCAACCGTTTATTCTTCTGTGAATATCGTTGAGAAACCTTGTGAAGATGAAAATTTCATGCCATGCTGCACGTCGGTCTGGTTAATTACAGCCCGTTTTTCTTTGACCCGGATCTTGAAAACTTCGTTTAGAATTACAGTGAATATATACTCTGGTAATGCTGCTTTACCGGATCATATTTTTTTCTACTCGCCATTTCCTATGCTTTTACGAAGCTATTTACATCAGTCGTTACGTTTTATCAAATCATGGACATGAGCACTCTGTGTTCTTTCTGACATCCATCCATCACAGTAGCCTAGAATAGTCAGGAACCACAGGGC